TACATGGAAGGCCCTCGATCAAGTAAAAAGGTTGAGAACCACTGCTCTACATAGATAGCAACTACATGAGGAAATAGCTTTACTTGGGACAATTTAGCATTAGCGTGTTAGCACATTGCTAAGCTAACAGCACAATACTCTATTAAGCATACATACACATATTGATAAAATAACATGTTTATGATGACAATTGACTTTTTATAGTATTTATCAGTATTGAACAAAATATAAGAATTCTTAGTCAATATTTTTTCACCTTAGATATGTCATCTTGTATTTATTTTTTCACTGAGCTTGTTAAAGTGCATTCTGGAATTGCCCTATCTGTGTAGAGTACATGCAGTGCTGCCTTCGAATCAAATAAGGTATCTTAGAAGGCAACATAAGTTAAACTAACAATCAGCAGTGTGTCTGCAAAGAATGACTGACATGCTCAGTGACCAATCAAATTAGAGAACAAGGCAATCAGCAAAGTGACTGGTAGCCAAGGAGAGAGTTCATCCCATCTTGTTTCCCATAACCACCATCATCACAATATCCATAATGCTCAATCAATGCCAGTAAGTGTTGCTTTATATATATATGTATGCTATTAGTAAGAAAATAAGAGAATGGGAAAAAATAACATTTAGACCTAAAGAATATATCCAGCTAATGTCTCACAACTCCATCCAAATTCATGACTCAGGCACTTTAAGAGAGACAAATAACCACTGCACAATAGTTAATCATTATCATATTAAGCACTGAGCGTATGAATGTAGTAGCATTTGAAATCATGTTTTTCTAAGTGCAGTGATGCCTAATGCAGCATTCACACTGTGTCATTATTGATGGGCTAATCCATTAGCACTATGAAGGCACAAAACATTGATCATACAGCAGTGGGGCCTGTCCCACGTGCAACAGTGTATGTGAGTCAGAGGTCAAAGCCACAAGCCTGTGTCATTGGAACATGCTTTATTTGTATGCCTTTTACCTACATAGAAAATAGCAGCCCGGGGCATTTCCAAACTCACTTGCCTTAAAGGGACTTTGACAGTAGGATAGAATATTAAAACGACCTACTACTACTTTTGCCAAAACGTGGAGAATACAATGGAGCACACTGCACGGAATACTGTAGCCTATCCCAACATGCAATGCACTCAACAATGTGCAATTAAACTGAATAGATACATCAGTGATTTTTGGCATCTGTCAAAACCAAACACAATTTTTTTAGACAAAACTGAATTAAAATGTTCTTTATCTTTGTACTCCAAGATATTATTTTTTATTATGAAAACCCTTATCATTTATCTCTTGAATGTCATGCGAACTTCATTCTATTGTAAGCAATTTTTTTTAGGCCTACTCTTTTTAATTTCATCCATCTGACTTATTCACAAAAACAAAAATACAAGATTTTAATGCTTTAATGGTGTGATTTCATATTAAAACCGCTTTTCTTTGTTTATGTTCTGCAATAAAAAAAAGGTTAATTAAAAAAAAGAAGAGGAAGAAGAAGACTTTTGCCTATATAATAAAAATCAACTGGGGTCCAAAAATGGATATTGAACCAAACTGACTTTAATTGCATGGACAAAAACACAGCATACACAATTAACACAATTAAAACACAATCATACACATACACAATTACATATCCAATCATCATTAATTTATCGATACCTATAAATCTCTAATATCGGCCATTAAACGATATTTTACTGATAGACTGTAACTTGAACTTTCAAGTTTACAACATATCACACTGCACAGAATACTGTATCCTGCAATGCAATGCGCTCAACAATGAAATAGAAGTCATTACAGCAGTGATGTAGAAGACATTTTGACACAAAATTGAATTAACATAGATATTAACTGCAGATATGCAGATATTAAAATGGCCAATAATATATAATTATTAGTATAATTAGTATAACTGATAGTATATGATAGTATAATCCCCATCATATTAAATAATTAAAATATTAAGATATTGAAATTCTTTATTTTGTGTTTGTTTTATTTAATAGATAGATAGATAGATAGATATTTTTCAGTTTTTAATTTCCAAATAGATAACTGGACACCATTCTGATTATGATTTAATGAAGTCATGTCATATTTTTTTAAATATAGTGCAAGCTAGTATCCCATTCTGAACATAATCACTAAAATCTCTTAAATTCTTCAAGTGACCCTTTGGCCTGTCATAGATCCACCCTCATTTTCAGATAAGGCCATGTGAATCCTCTCTGGGCAATGCACCGTAACTAACTGTGACACTGCAGAGCTCACAGAGAGAAAAAAGCACAACTTCCAGCACCGTGGACAGATGGACAGACCCAGACCCCCCCACCATACCGCACTGTCCCATTCCTCCAGCCAACAGTCCTGACCCAATAAGAGAGAAACACAAACACAACATACTTCCGAGTCGACTTTCCAACCAAACAAACCTCAAGGATCAACCACAAAACAACAGAACAATGCCTTCTGAGTCCTAAATTAGAGGAGCGGCGAGATAATGTCAGCCGTTCCCGCTGGAAAAATGCCCTATTACCAGGCAGAGGGATCTTTTGTCCAGACAGCAAACGAGCAGCATTGATTGTACTCGCTGTTTTAACCAGTGATGTGGCTGATGTCTGAGCCGGGCTCGATCAGCCTCTCTCGCTCTCAAAGACGCGAGCAGGCATGTCGTTCCCAGGTGCCCTTCCCCCCATCTCTGCCTGGCCATTCCCGAAGCATACATTTCCTTCTATCTGCTCCACACAGTTGTCATTATACATACTGATGTGGAGATGAACGTGTTCCTGAGATCATATACCTGAGAACCGTAAACACATGCATGCACAGCTGATCAAACATCACACATCAATCACACAGGGCAAACAGAGCAACACGCACTAGGTACAGGAGAAATCACTCTGTATTACTAACAGTACAGAGTGTTAAAGTTTGTTTTGAGAGAAGGATTTTCTCCTTTTATGAGGCCTCATTAACCAATTAATTAGAATTAATTCCAAAGGAAACTTTTTTTTTTTTAGCTGTTATAGCTAAAGAAACTGCCCGATATATTTTAAAAATGTGAATGAATGAATGAATAAATAAAATTGGGTTCTTTAAGTTCTTTTATTTTTAGCGCTACAGAATTAAACCACTCCTTTGTTATCAAAGATATTATATTTTATTATGAAAACCCTTATCATTTATCTCTTGAATGTCATGTGAACTGCATTCAATTGCATGCAATTTGTTTACTCTCTAATTTCATCCATCTGACTTATTCACAAAAACAAAAATACAAGATTTTAATGCTTTAATGGTGTGATTTCATGTTAAAACTGCTCTTCTTTGTTTATGTTCTGCAATAAAAAAAAGGTTAATTAAAAAAAAGAAGAGGAAGAAGAAGACTTTTGCCCATATAATTAAAATCAACTGGGGTCCAAAAATGGATATTGAACCAAATTGACTTTAATTGCATGGACAAAAACAGAGCTATTTTACTAAATATCTTATTTTGTGTTGCACAGAATAATAAAAGTAATATTTGGAATGACATGAAGGTAAATGACCGTATTTTAATTTTTGGGAGAATGCCCTTTAAGTATCAATTTAGTCTCAGATGTTTCTTATAAAATGCCTCAGGAGACAAAAATTAGGCAGTCCTTGGCATACAGTAAAAGCAGGGCTGCCATTACATTTCACTGGGGCCTGGGACAATTTTTTTATGGATGGGCTCCTCCACCCTCCACCAGGCCAAATGAGTAAGCTATATCAGAGAGGGCCATGGTGGGCGCCCCTCGTCACAATCCCATCCCATTCCCCCTTTGGTACAGAGCTATGAAATGAATGTGGACAGTACTATACAGCCCAGATAATTTGGTCTTGGAAGTATTTGATGAGAAATGCTCAAGTTTGAGAGACAGTTCACCCCAAAAATAACAATTCAACATTTACTCACCCTCATGCTGTTCCAAACCTGTATGACCTTCTTGAAACACAAATGAAGATATTTTGGAAAATTCTGGTAATGAAACAGCTTTGGTTGACTTTCATTGTATAGACAAAAACACTAAGTCATGTCTCAAACTATCTTCTTTTATGTTCCACAGAAGAAATTCAGTTTTACACGTTTGGAATGAAATGAGGATGAGTAAACAATGACAGAATTTTCATTTTTGAGTCGACTATCCCTTTAATACCATAATCTCAGACTTTTGGTGTCTTGGCAAGACAGTTGAGACATCGAGATCTCCTCCTCCAGAGGAGACACGTGAGATTTTCTCGCAGTGAAAGTCTATTAAGATGACAAACAACAGCACTCCTTGTAACTGACTTTAATGAGCACATTTTAAGGATGAGTTGTGGATTTCTAAACTGTTTGAATTTGTTTCAGACAGATATTGGAATTTCATATCAAAGTTTGAGACATGGTAACGCAAAAAAACACTGAGTTACAGACGCTGAAACCAAATGTGTCACAGCGGTCTCCCCTATATATCCCGACAATAATCTCAGACTTTTGGTGTCTTGGCAAGACAGTTGAGACATCGAAATCTCGTGAGACACGTGAGATTTTCTCGCAGTGAAAGTCTATTAAGATGACAAACAACAGCACTCCTTGTAACTGACTTTAATGAGCACATTTTAAGGATGAGTTGTGGATTTCTAAACTGTTTGAATTTGTTTCAGACAGATATTGGAATTTCATATCAAAGTTTGAGACATGGTAACGCAAAAAAACACTGAGTTACAGACGCTGAAACCAAATGTGTCACAGCGGTCTCCCCTATATATCCCGACACGCACGCACCGTGTATGAGGGGCGCAGTGGGTCGGGGATGCCTAGAGTGGGTGTGTGTGATGTATTGCATTGCTCAAGCAACTGCATTCGCTCTGTCTGTATTGATATAAACAGCACGGAACCGGTGGACTCCCGGAAAGCCCTTTTATTTCGGACACACATAGGCCTACATAAACTTGTCCGCTACGGTCTGTTTTCATACCTGAGTAACCCGGGCAGAGGTATGGAGCCGGAGCCCGAGCCCAGCAATCCTTTCTTCCCACTCAGCAGCTTCTCCACCAGCCCCACATTCCCGGTCCGCGCCGCCTCCAGAAGCTCCTGCTCCTTCCCCATCCCGGACACAAGTTTAATCCACGAGAACAAAAGCAATCCGGATTGAACGGCGAGGTTTCCTTTTAGGATTTCTGCGGCATGTTACCGACAAACAGACGCTCCGCCGTGCGCTGCTGTATGAATAAAGCCGCTAGTCCCTACCAGAGCTCAATGATGGAATGATGCACCGTATATTTACTGTAACACGGTCCCGGTGCAGCTGTGCTGAACGGGAGGTGATGGTCCTCAGACGGGCCGGTTGCCTAGAGACGCGGGTTATATCACACTCACCAGCCGCTCTGCTCGTGCGCTCTGGGTCACTGTACACACGCTTTCTCTCTTTCTCTCTCTCTCTATGTGTGTGTGTGAGTGCGCGCGCCGTTGTACTGACAGCAGGGCGGCCCAGCATCAGTGTTTCTGTCTTTCGGTTCCTATATGGCAGTCTTCTGTTACGAGAGGAGAGCTGCTCCGGCTGGGCGTGGAATCACGGATACCGAACACCGTTACTGTAACCTTGTTTTGATTTAATTGGCGCACGAGGAGAAAAGATGTCATATTAAAAGGAACGTTTACACCCTACTGTGGTGGAGAGGAATAGTCTACTATGGTACTCAATGATTGCCATATTAACGTAAACATAGCATGTAAAATATAATGTAAAAATACCATGGTTAAAAAAAATCATGGTAATTCATAGAAGTCATTCATTTATTTATTGTTTGTTTGTTTTGCAAGGATGCAAACTCATTTTTGGGGACAAGAACGTTCCAACTATTAATCAGATGATTAATCAGAATATGAGCATGGAGAGAATGTGGGCTTCATGTAAACGTGTAACTGCCAAAAGCAGATTAAGCCAATATTCCAGTTTCTAGAATTCTGAAAACACACACACACAAACGGAATGTATTGTAAAATCTGTGGAGCATGATGTGCATTTAAACAGTTACTGACTGCATTTACATGCACAAGAATATTCCTACAATATTCTGGTCATATTCTGATTATGTGTCATGTATACATTAACCAGATTTCAGTTTGGTAATCATTCAGTATCATTATATACATGAAACTGTCATGAAATCACAATCCCATTCCATAATTGACATGGAACCACCACATGTACTCTTTTCTAAGAGACATTTTTGAGCTATAATTGTGAAATACTGAATGAACACAGATTGCAGATATTCTCAGGTTTTGTTTACAACTTCACTAACATCTCCACAGCATTACTTCCTGTGCCGTTCAGCTGTGAAGTCTTGAAGAGAGGAAAAAAATGCCGTGCTAAAGACTGGAGGAACAGCACAAGAAATGAAAGAGATGATCTGGTGTGTGTGTGTGTGTGTGTGAGAGAGAGAGGCAGCTGCAGGCCCACTGGGTGTTGGACAGAGTCACTAGATTTCAGCTTTGCCAAGAAACAGAAACAACCGGATCTTATGAGGCAGTTGTGTGCAAGCTCTCTGCATTACTCGCACAAACACAAGCGGTTGTTCAGTGTCTATTTAGTTACTAACTCCAGGAATAAACTCGTCCATAGAGCAGCAAACAGAGCAGTATTCATCTGCCTTAATAGGCAATGCATAGAGTAGGAGCACACTCAAACACAAACACACACACAGTTGCAGGCCTGACTTTACAATTCATGAGAGTACCACATGAGATTTAGGTTGTATGGAGGTGAAGCCAAACCAAACTGAGATTACACAGACTGAGACCTTTTTTGGAAACCCAGGGGAAAAGTGACCTTTTAAGTAGCACCTAGCAAAAGTGATTCATCCCTCAAAAAGTCAAACGTTGATGCAGAAAATGTGTCAAAACACTGCAAGTAAAAGCATGATGCAGGAAGCATTGTTATGGATTATGGACTTGTATTTTGGCCAGAAGTTAAAATGCCTTGATGGATTTGTTTCTTACAAACACGCAGCTTTTCACTTCACAAGACATTAATTGATGGGCTGGAGCCATGTCGATTACTTGTGAATTACTATTGTGATGTTTCTTATAAGCTGTTTGGACTCTCATTCTGACGGCACCCATTCACTGCAGAGGATTCATTACTGAACAAGTGATGTAATGTTTAATTTCTCCAAATCTGTTCCAATGAAGAAACAAACTTATCTACAGCTTGGATGGTCAATTATCAGCAAAGCAGTTATTGTTACTCCACTACCAAACAGCTGCTGGTCCCCACTGACTTCCATAGTATTTTTTTCTATACTATGGAAGTCAGTGGGGACAATCAACTGTTTGGTTACCCACATTTTTTTTTAAATATCTTCATTTATGTTCAACAGAAGAAAGAAAAAACATAAAATGGTCAAAAGTATGTTTTTTTTTTCACAATAACGGCAATAATTCAATTCAAGTTTATTTGTATAGCGGTTTTCACGATACAAATATTTTTTTTTCACAATAACGGCAATAATTCAATTCAAGTTTATTTGTGTAGCGGTTTTCACGATACAAATCGTTGCAAAGCAACTTTACAGCAATGGCACTCCATATTTCTCTGCATTAAAATGCATTTAAAATAGATTTTCAATAGAACTAGAATTTCCATTTCATGCCAACATTATGGCTAGGTAAGCATGTGATTGAGAGCATTTGTTTCAGCCCAACAGCATCTGATACATATGGATCATCATTTATTAAAAAAAAAATTATAATACTAATTAATAAAAAAATTATTTAACATTTTAGATTTTATTTCATCATTTTATTTCAGATGTCTCAGTACTTCAGCAGCTTCTGATGTACACAAGAAATAACAATTTCACAAGTTTTGCTTGATTGAGCATCATTGTTCGTCATTTGTGCTAAAGAGGTGGGTCTCCATCTATAAGGGGCGTGTCTATTACATATTGGGGCCTAGGGGTGTGGCCTAGTACTACATAAGAAAAGTTCTTGTTTCCTACAATCAGGTGTTTCTTCCAGCTCTCCATGTTCAAGTCCTAACATCTGAAAAGTGTTCTCCAGATGGAAGCTTGTTTTGTGAAGAGCATTAAAACATTAATTTAGAGAACAAAATGTGAGAGAAAAATCAAGCAGAACCTCTGGAGAAGGTGTGCAGTCACAGGCACTTATAGAGGCCGCTGTAGAGAAAAACCAGGGCAGGAGAGAGAACAAAGCAAAACCAAGAAAACATTTCAATATTTTTGCCATGATATTACCCTTTTCTTTTAAAGTATAAATAAGAAAAGCCAAAAACAAAAAATAACTAACATAAACTCTTAGATTTCATACATCAGTTGAGCGGTTTTCACCCAACATCCATCCATCTCTTTTTTTTTTTTTTTGTGCAGAAATGCTGGTAAACAGATCAACAATGTGACAAAGCATCAGTTAAACATTCCATGTTCAGACTGAATGGTGCTTTATCAGAAAATAATAATAATAATAAATCTCCTATTTTGACTGTTGCAATGCAAACATTCACCTAAAAAGACAAAGATGTAATGGCAATGTGTTTAGTTGCAAATACTGAACTAATATCAAAGTGTTGCACTGCAAAACACAAAATCTGTCCATAGAGTAAAAGAAATCAAGTCGTGCAATGCAAATCTAAATCTAATGCAAACCTATAGTGTTCGTGAACATAATTCCGAAAACATATTCCCGTTTTTGAGACGCTAACATAATGAAGATGTAAATATTTTGCCTACACCAATTCAATCGCACTTATTAACAAAACATTCTTGTGTATCACAATTACTATACATAATCACAAATTTATTAATCACTAAATAATATTTTGTAGTTATTGTTAAACAAAAGAGTTCAGAACAGTGCAAATACATTTTTTAAGACATTCCTCCAAAGATATGACATTCAACATCACACACCCTGACACTCAGTGTGTAAGACTGTCCTGGGGTTAAAGGTCAAGAGTGGAATGCGCTCCTACACAGCGTACGAATTGGTTAGAGAGAGAGAGAACGTGAGTAAGAATGTGAGTGACCCCTTTACACTTTCCCATGATAATTTAAGTGGTGCTCGCTGACACAAATAAATGAAGTGAAAGAAATAATAAAAACAGGAAGAGAGCAACAAAACATCTGTGAAATTCCACAGGCTGTCCCAAAGAGTCTTTTCACTTGATTTTTTTCTGATGCTAAAGCTTTGTGTGTATACTATAGCAAAGAACACTGTTCTTTATGAGCAGATGCCACTGTTTGCAAAGCCTGGATCCCGAGTGAGGTGAGATCTCCATCACGGCACACATACCATCCTCTTCTCGGCTGCAGAGTTGGGATTTTTTATGGCGCCGGGCCCCTCCAAGCACTCTGCTGCCCCCCTGTGGCAAGTGTCAGTCCTGTATGCACACACTCATGCACTGCTACTAGCTGTTGCTGCCTCCGCTGGTGAGTTTGAGAGACTTTATTTGATGCTGGAGAGAGTCTTTCTCCATCTGAGCTTCCGCTAGCGCCATCTTGGCTTTGGAGAGCTCCAGTTTCAAGCATTCATTCTCCTCCATGAGCAGCTGTATGGACAGAAAAGATCATTAGCTTGGCGCACAAACTGTTTATTGTTTATCAGCCTGGATGCTTTGCTTGAATGATAATTGTCATTGTATAATTGATGTTAAAGGGGTCATATTTTGTATAATTTTACTTTTTCTCTAAAGTCCCCTTATAAATATTAGTCAAGCTTTTTGCACCAACAACTTCATAATAATGGTTTAGTTATAACCATTTTCTACACTCATTCTTTGGCTCTCAGAAAAAAAAAAAAAAAAGATTAATTAAAAATTTATTGTTTCTACTGTGCCTTTAAGATTTATGTAAACATTCTCTTTATTGGCTGAACTAACATTGGATTTTTTCAGAAGAATATGCAGAGCAGTAGGTACTACACCTTTTTACAGTTATCATTAGTTATTCCTTTAAGTAATTTGAATTTAATTTTAACAGCATCTATCTTCATTATTACATCACCGTGACTGGGTGAGACACCAAAAAAAGACATCACTGATGTGTAACTGCATGAAATTTTCTAGGTTTCTGTCATCAGAAATCAATTTTTTTTTCAGAACAAGCCATTGTTCGCAGCCTAGTTTCAATAAATAATTTTTTTTGGACTGGGGAAATTTTGAGTTGTTAAACTTACAGTTTTTTTTATAGTACAGTATGTTTTCATAGCACATAAAATTATTTTTAAATAGAAAATTGTATTATTTATAGTAATGATTGCCTTAAAATTGAAATAAACCAAATCATAAACAGCAATCTTGCATCACTGTAAAGGCTTACAAACGTACATGGGTATTTAGACCGCAAACTGAAATGTTCACATAAGGC